CACCCCCCGCCCTGGCACTCACTTAGTGTGGCGAAAGACGTGCTAAAAATCCCAAGGCTTCTTTAGACCTATTCTGAAAACCACTGAACAGTTAGCAAATGCCACAAAGAGTTGGGGTGGTGAGTGATCACCGGGGGGCAGGGTGTAAGAGAAGGCTTCAAGAATAGGAGGAAATAAAGCCAGCTTTTAAGTAAAGGGTGGAATTTGAATAATAGGAAAAGCAGCAGTCAGTTAATTGTGTTAGATGAGACAATGCTGTAAACAAAAGCTGAGAGGGGAGAAACTGCAAACCTCCAGGGGTTGGATTTATCCTATAGACCAAGGAGAACTGTTAAAAATCTCCCAGTAGAGGAATAATATGACGAATATGATACCACAGGATGATTAATCAGATGGCAGTGTAAGGGACAGACTGAAGGAAAGAGAATAGGGTTGGCAGTAAGAAAAATTTTACAATAGTTTAGGAATGAGGTAAAAAGGACTGAAGTAAGGTAAGTGAGGTAAGAAGGCTTAGAAAGGACATTTATATTTAAGACACTGGAAACTGAGGAGATTAAGACTTGCCACAGTCATAAAACAAGTAAACGGTGGAACCACTATAGAATTAGAAATCTTCTAACTTGGATCACAACATGTTGTCTTTCCAGGCAATAGCATGTAACTTTTCTGGTGGGTTCTAAATGCATCCTTGCTCGTTTGTGTGTCCATCTATTGACCCATCCACCCGCCATCCATCCATTCAAAATATTAGATATCCATGTAAGGAATAAAAAATAGCCTCTGATTTCAACTATGGCTTGGATAAATATGATCAAGAGACAAGAAGAAAATTCACACCATAGGCATGTTCCACTCTTTTTTAAAAAGAAAAAAAAAGATAGTTTTTTGTTTGTTTGTTTGTTTTTATCATTTTAGAAGACAGAGGCTCTGGTATTAAACAGATGAATTTTTTTGCTTACAGCTCTGTCAAGATGAAAGCTTACACTGAAAGCTCACTCTAAAGTGGATTCTGAGGCTAGCTGACTATGCTTACATATTTAATTAATGCATAGAAATAAAATGATTCTACATAGGTTTTTTGTTTGGGGTTTTTGTTTTTTAATATCATGGCATACAAGTTAAAATGAGATACCATTTCCACCTATCAAATTGGCAAAGGCAACTTTTAAATACAAAATCCAGCACCAGTGAGGATATAAGGCATCTGGCACTCTCATACAAATATTGTGGAAGTTGGTACAAGCTTTGTGAAAGGCAGTTCCAGACAAAATAATTCTTCAAAGCCTTTATCCTGGCAATTCTACTCCTAAAAATTTATCTGAAGAAAACAATTTTGGAGATAACTCAACAATATATTTACAGTGATGTGTATTGCTTCCTTCACTGATTATGATAGCAAAAAACCAAGTTTAATTTCCAACAATAGTAAATCTGTTAAACAGAATTTATTACAACAATATAAAGGATAACCATGCAGTTATTAAAAATGGACATGTTAAAAAATATTTATGGTATGGAAAAGAATGTGAATGATAAACAGAGAAAGAAGCAATAAAACAGCATCCCTGTATGATACAATTTGGAGGGGGATTTACATATGAAGAAAATCTGAAGTGATATGACAGAATGTTAACCCAGACTGTTTGGATTGCAAGCTAATTCTATTTTCTTCTTTTTATTTTAAAAACTTTCTACAAAGCACTTTCTTTTTCTTTGCTGAAGTATATTTAATACAGTAATTATACAATTATTCTTCTGTTTAAAGTTTTGGTTTAAAATTTAAGATAAGTAAAATTCTTATATAATGATTTAATATGTAGTTCTTCAACTTGTTACATGTAATTTGCTGCTGTTGTTGCACAATCTATATCATTGTTGTCATCATCATCATTTTCACTAACCTTATAAAAATGCTTATCATGTGCCAGGCATGGATTTAAGTGTTTTTACATGTATTAAACTCATTTAATCCTAGAAGAATTAAGTGACCCTAAAAAGTTTTAGTATTATCCCAATTTTATAGATAAAGCAACTAAAGCACAGAGAGGTTAAGTAAGCTGCCCAAGGTACAAGCTGGTAAGTAATAGAACTGGGATTCAAACTCAGGAAGCTTAGCTCCACTGTCCTCTTGCCACTCCACTCTACTGCCTCAACCATAATTCATTCAACAATGTGATATCACAGATCATAGGGCTTATCTGAAGCATGATTACTGCTGGCTGACAGGTAATGACCAGTTTACATTTCCTATAAAAGAACACCAGAATATGATTGCTGCTTTATGATCATCCTATTGAGATCACATGGTTTAGGGTGCTAAAAGATATTTCAATTTGCAAAAATATAAAATATGCCTGATAAGCAGAAAGCATATTGCTACCGCCAAGTCTAACAATACCCATGGACTGCTGCTAAGTTATATATTATCCTCGCACGAGTATTTTCTCATGTATTATCAACTGACCCCATGAAACAGAGTCACATAACTTCATAATCTGAAGGAACTATTGAAGCTTTACTGACAATAAAATGAGACACAAGGAAATTAATTCACTAACCTGATTAAAAGCATACCAGGACTAATGCCTATGCTCATGATAATATTCCCTCAACAGATGCAATAAATAAATAGTAAGTTATTTATTCAAAAACAGTTTTGCAGTATAGCCAGTCTACTGCTAGGTTTGCTAACTACACTGCTTCCTTAGAGAGAGACAATGATTATTTCTAGTAGTAAGAAACTCTTTACTTCCTCCATGTCTTTACTCTGCCTAGTGTACCCTCTTCACCCTCTCCTCTTGCCTCTAACTGCTTGACTAATGCTTATTTAAACTCAGCTCAAGAGTTACATCTTGATACTGGTAGGTAGATTAAGTACTCCAACACCCAACAGCATTCTCTACATATCTCTTTCTCATTTCAAGTATAATGTGGCAATCTAATTGCCCATTTATCTGTTTCTCCCATTACACTTTGAGAATTCCTTGGGTAGGGACAATGTTCTATTCATTTATCATCTCCAGCACATAGTAAATTACCTAGATCGTAACAAGTATTAAATATTTCCTGAATGAAGAAATGGATAAATTCAGTACTTGAAGTTTTCCTGGTATGCAGTTAAGTATGTACCTACCGAATAACCTCTATGGATTATAATGTACCTCTTAGATAAAACATAAGGAATGTGTCTGTCCCTCCTTCAAGAATAATCCAATTCTCACAGCTGAGAACTCAAGCCACTAGAGAGTAACTTTTTTGTGTTTGATCAACAAACTGCTTGCCATGGACAATGGAGAACTACTGTAGGCTAATAAGCAGCATATAAGGAAGTCAGTAGCACTCGGCTTGTCTTTATCTCTAAACTCAGATCATACTTCTTCCACTAGTCCTTTGTGGCTTTTTAATTGGTTTTTGTCTCCTTCATTTTTTCAATACACTTTGCATCTCTGTTATATCTCCTATATAATTACTTGTTCGGGCATATGTGTCCCTGACTAGATTTTAGTTTCTGGAAGAGAATGACTAAATCCTATTTATCTAGTAAAGCACCTAGCAAAGTATCTTGCACTTAGCAGACAATCAAAAAACATTTGCTGAATTGACTTGTTAATAAGAGAGTTTCAAGTGTCATTTCTGACAAATGCAGAACTATAAAAGATGTTTTAGGACACAGCACCTGGGTATCAAAAACAAAGAGAGAAATACATCCTATGTTGACTTAAAAATATATATAAGTTGGGATGAAAGTTCCTTTAAAATTTAAAAAAAAAAAAACCTTACATTTAAATTCTTAAAAAAGTAATTTATAAGAAAACCTTTTGTCTCTGCATACAAAAACATACTTTTTAAAAGAATCAAACAAACTATAACAATGATATCATTTTACACGTTTCTCTTTTTCATCTTAGCTGCCAGGAAATCCAGAGTCAAACAAGGAGAAAAATGTTGTAATCTGTCAACTCTGGTACCTTGTAACAAGTACCCTTAATTCCTTTTTAAATGTGCTTTACCATTACTCTTTTACAAGTTTAAACTTTTTACATTGTAAAAGTTACAAACCTCTATATGTAAAATATTCAAATGTCACAGAAAGATATAAAATATAAAATGAATCTCTTGTTCCTTTCTCTGTTCCCAATTTAGTCCTATATTCCAAAGGTGCCAGAGCTAACCACCAGTAATTGTTTTGCTATAGCCTTTCCAGAAGTATGAATATATGTATGCATAAACATGTTTGTGTGCAGAATATTTCTTTTTTTATTCCTTTTTTATACAAGTAGAATCATGCTGTACATGTATCTTTTTTAAACTTACAATATTTTGAATATATAATACATAATTAGCATATATATTTGCTTCATTTTTGTTAATCATTGCATTACCCTATTGGCAGACATTTTGTTTGTTTTCAGGATATTGCTATAATACACAATGCTGCAATAAAACTTTTATATATACCTTTGCGTATTTTATTATTTCAACAAATATTTACTGGGTGCCCACTAACTGTCAAGTGCCACTCTAGGTTTTAGGAATAACAAGGAGCAAGACAGAGTAATCCTATGTTCATGGAACTTACATCCTAGTTAGGACAGATAATAATCAGGTAATAAAAATATTTCAGATAATTCCAGAGTGAAAAATGTCATGAAGATAATCAACAGTCATTAGTGAAGGCGCGTGCGATGGTGTGAATGTTAATTTCCCTCCAAAGCTTATTTTGAAACCTAATCCCTCTATTGTGGTTGTATTAAGATGTGGGGCCTTTTGGAAGTGATTAGATCTTGAGGGCTCCACTCTCATGAATGGGATTAGTGCCCTTACAAAAGAGGCTTGAGGGAACCTGATTCCTCCTTCTGCCAGGTGAGGAAGCAGCAAGCAGGTGCCATCTTTGAAGTAGAAAGAGCAAGCCCTCACTAGATACCTAATTTGCTTGAACTTTGATCTTGGACTTCCCAGCCCCCAGAACTGTGAGCAATACATTTCTGTTGTTTATGAGCTACCCAGTCTAAGGTATTTTGTTATAATAGCACAAACAGACTAAGACAGTGCATAAGAGTAAATGACTTTTGAGCTGGAACTTGAAAGGTAAGAATCAGTCTGCCATCAGAAGATATGGAGAAAGTGTTCTCAGTTGGGGGAAGAGCAATACAAAGGCCCCTGGAAGGAATGAACCTGGTATTTTTGACAAATGCAAAGAAACAGAGTAGTATAAAATGTGGGTAAGAAGTAGGCAGGAGATCATCTACGGTCTAGAAACCTAAGAAAGAAGTAAAGATTTCAATTTAAAGGCAAAATTAAGCCATTAAATTAAAGGGTTTAAAAGCAAGGAAGAAATAAGATCTAATTTTGCTAGTTTATCAGAAGGATAAATTTCTAAAAAAAACACCAGCTAGCTCAAAGATGATGTGCAATTTAGGTCTTAATAAATATTGCTAAAATGGCTTCAAAAAGCTGTACCTATTTATTTTTCTGTCAAAAACATATTGTACAGTGTCTGTTTCTACAGACCTCAGCAATGCTAGATGACACCAAACTTTAAACTCTTTGCCAAAATGCAAAAAAGTAATGCAAATTTGGCTCCAATTTTATTTTCGATTTCTTTATATTAAGTATTTCTCTGTATTATACATTTTAATTTCTCTATATTAAGAATCTGCAATGGCTAATGGAAATAGTGAGGTAAACAATACAGACAAAACAGATCATGACAGAATGAGGCAACCTAAAAACATAACTCACTCCCAGCATGGAAAAACTATATTGAAAAATGACCATAGTTTAATTTTAATGAAATCTTACTTCTTGTTACTCTTCTTGCAGTGCAAAATCTGCCTAACAACAAAGTTAGTTGCAACCTCTCTCTCTCACAATGCAGAAGGACTTAAGGGGAAATGGGGAATATACCCACTTGGGTGAATCTATTTGCAGGATTCTGAATTCTTAGAAATAGATATGCTGGGACAAAGATTTTTTGCAGTAAAAATATTGATAGTTACAGCAAAACTGGCCTCCAAAGGCTTTGTAACCCATTTCAGTTCCTACCAAAATTGTGGCAAGTTGAAGATAATGTCCTTTACATTTCTATTTACCTTCCTAATTCCCTACCTCCTTACGTTAGATGTGTCAATCCCCATATTCAACATTTCACAATGTAGAAGCTGTGACATATAGATAATTGTTTAGTAAAACAAGTATGAACTACTAAAGCAAAAGATTTTAAAATAAATTTGGCACACTTTTATTTGACTGTCTATATTTATTCAAATGATACAAAACTGATATGCTGAATAGATGAAAGATACTAATATCACCGATTTCCAAAACGTCCTTGCCTTATTCATCTATAAATCTTTCACAATAGATTTTGATACATTTGCGGATATGTAAAAGAAAGGTACTATGAAAATAAGAAACATTCCTATTTAAACAAAAAGAAAAATTTAAATTATAATACTTACAATCATCTAGATCTAGAAGTGAAATATCTTTGGCAAGAGGATTTCTATCTTGCTTTGTTTTTTTCTCTCTCTCCTATAAAATAACAAATATTTCGTTTATTGCATGTTCCGTTTTAAAAATCTATTAAGTACAGTAGTCCTTAATGCTCCGAAACAAACTTTTTTTTCCCTCTGCTTAGTCTTACAAACAAATTAAGCTTCTGTATGGTTACATATAATATTTTTTTGAATCAAAATTGCTGTCTCAATTAGCATACAGTATTTCCTCTTCACTATGCAAACTATTAATTATTTGAAAATACTTTGTGTTTATGGGGCAGGCCAGTTAGCTCAGTTGGTTAAGACTGTGGTGCTGATAACAGAAAGATCTAGGGTTCATCCTTGTCTGCACCAGCCAGCTGCCAAAATAAACAAACAAATAAAAAACACTAAAAATATTTTGTGTTTAAAGATGATAAAAGATTTTCAGAAGAAAATTTAAAGTAATAATTATTTTATAATCTGGTAACTTTTTGCCAACAGAAAAATATAATGTGGCTCTTTGGTAGAAAGCACACAAATATTATCAAAACCATTGTACTAGGTACTTAATATTTCAATACTGGGTTGTGTCAGATTTCTTTGCCAAAGGTATTCACTAAAATCTATAAATGACATTCCCAGGCTCTTGCTCTTTAGGGTTGAAAAGGATTCTTTTACTCTCTCAACTGTTTTGTAGAGAGAATGAGTATTTCAAAACATATCTGCACATAATTACGGCTTCCCCCCACCAGAGATTTGCTTGTTCAATCTATTATATTTATATAAGATGTGTATAACCATGGACTAGAATACAGTGCCTCTAAGCCTGAGGTGTTTGCAGTTTGGTTAGAGATTCAGAAAAGATCTGTAAATCTTTTTTTAAAAAGTATAAATTAAGTGCAGTACACTGAGTAGCATTATAAACGACTAAAGACCAAGAAAGCATATGGCGTTAGATATACTTGGGTCAAAATTACTTATCTTTATAATTTATATATATTTTTATTATTAAATTTTCTCAAATTAAAGGCCAAAACTTATATTTCTACTAAAATGTTTTTGTTTATTCAATCATTCATTCATTCAATAGATATGTGTTAGAATTTTAACTATGACTCAGATTCTGTGCTAAGCAACGTAAATAACAGCCAGGACAAACATAGTGCCTGCCTTCAAATAACATATAATCTACCAAAGGAGTTTATAGCTTATTGTTAATGTGAATTATTATAAATATTTTTGAAGTATTCCTCTAACCATGGAAAGATAACACTGAATCAAAAAGTATCTTACCACCATTTAAAGTCTACATAGTGTTAGAGCTCTAACAACAGTAAGAGCACATACATGAACAAGAGCATTACATAAAATTATGTTATGTAACATTTTTAAATCATTTAGGTTCTGCTTGTTTTTTCCCTATGTCAATACTCAGAAAATTATTTTCAAGGATCAAATAGGAAATACATTAAAACACTAACTAAAAAGATCAGCACTGATTTTCTTCCTCAAAACAATTATTTCTGCCACTGAAAACTCCAAATCATCTACATGGGTTTTAATTTACACTCATTTAAAAATGAAACAACAGTATTTGCCCTCTCTACATTCCTCAAATGAATAACAATGTCTAGGATGGGGGTCGGGGGGAGAAAAAAATGTTAGTTTTGAGGGTGAAATTTTTTTCCCAAATTTATGTATGTTTATTTTTGTGAGGCATAGTGTGTTGTTTCAATATATGCATATACTGCACAATAATTCACTTAAGGTAGATATCATAGTTTTGTACTCTTAGTCCACCCCTTCTTCTCCCTCCCAATTCCCTCCCCTCCCAGCCTCTTGTAACCATTATTCTACTTTCTAATTCTATGAGACCATGTGGTATTTGTCTTACTGTCCCTGACTTATTTTGATTTCTCACTATTTATTTTTAGTATGTATCTTGTAAATTTTTGTGTTATGATTACCATGAGCTTTACGAATAACATGTTATAGTTAGTTTGTTTAAGACTAATAACAACTTAACTTTGATCTCTAAGAAAAAAGAAAGAACCAAAGCCAACTATACACTTTGGTGTCATTCCTCCCCCCATTTTTTGACATTTTGTTGTTTCAAGTTACATCTTTTAATATTGCCTATCTCTTACACGGCTGTATTTTTGTTGTCGTCTTGAGGCTGAAATTTAAAAGTAGCAAATAAATGAAAACAGGTACAGAATGAAAATGCCATCTCAACCAGAATATCATTCCTGTGAAGAAAAAACATATAACAAAAAAGAGTATCATCATGCGACTTATCAAAATGCTATGCTGAGCACAATGGGTGTAGCTTCCCATAAGCTACAATGGTGCATGACTGTCTTTATGGAACTGTAACTTCCCCACCTGAAAAATTAGAAACCTATCAAATAAAGATAAAGTTAAAAGCTGAAGGCAAGTCTATACCTTATTTTCTACTTCACGGCCAAGAGTATGTAACAGTATCTATTAAATATACATCAGGTCACATACAACACAAAACAGAGCTGCATGTGAAATTGGCATAATCTCTTACTAGAAGCCTAGAACAGAAAGAAAAAAGGCTTTCAAAAGGACAGAATTTCATTGACTTTCTGAGAACAGCAAATAACAGTGACTGAAATACAACATTAGCAATAGATAATGGTCATTCTACTGAATTGAAAAAGCCTTGCATTCTGAATCAAGGTTGTAAAATGCTTCATGATGTGTTTGGTATTCCTCTCATATTATATTTCATTTTTCACTTTAAAAAATCCATAGTAAGTTCAAAACATTTTCATACTTAAAGAATCTACTATAAAAATAAAAATCTGAATTCTAAACAAAGAAGTTAAGAGCTCTATTCCATCAAACATTTCTCCATTTGCAATTCATCTTGGTAATAGAGACAGAACCTGGGTAAAGGCATATAAGACTTGAGGCAGGAGATTTTTCTTGCTCAATGCATAATTCATGTGCTCCGCCTGCAAAGTGTGTAAAATGAGAATTTCACACCGCAGCATGAGCCATGGAGCTGCAGAGAAAAGGCAGATGAAATCATATTTTACTGTGTGAATTTTATTTCTTACCCTCCCAATATTTATACAAAACCATCATTGACAAACCAAACACATTGACAGATCACCCACTGTTTCCATTGTGTTAGTACTTGAGAAGAGATCAGGCAGAAAGATAGACAATTTGTTTTTGTATATCTTTTTAAATAGAGGATTAGGTTTTTAACAGCTGAGTGACTGTATTAGACTTTTATAAGGACAACAGAAAGTGATCTTAAAATCTCACTACAAAAAATACCTCGTTATCAATTCATCATCCCCAAATCTCCATTTTGTTTCTATGGTATTCGATTATACACCTCAACATATCAACATTTCAAAATGAAATACAAAGTCACAGGGTTAAGAAACTGATTTCTATTTAATGTATTTCATTTCAAAAAATAAATAAAAGATCTTAGAAATACTTATTGCTCCAAATAATACAAACAAAAATATGTAATAATATACCTGCAAAGATTTTTTTATGTATTATGCATGTTCATTTTCATGCTGATTTGAAAAAAAAAAAAAAAAGCCAAATAGGAAAAAAGATCTGACATGACAAGCATCAAATATGCTTTCTAAGAGGAAGGGGTAAAGAGGTAAACCACTGCAAAGAGGTTTGAAATTTAAACTATAAAACAGGATAAGCAGGATAAAATGAAAAGTTTGTTAAACCCATACTGTGCTTTGAAATCAACAATTTGAGGCTAATTCTTTTAGAAGATATTTGCATAAAATATTTTCAATCAGAATTTCCAACCAAGGACAACTTAATGGCTCTCTTCCCTTCAAGTTATCTGACAAATTTGATTCAAAAAAGTCTGAGGCTCACACTTAAACTTGTGCTTTAAAACAAAAGTACATCTCCACTAAATTGAGACTTCTTCATAAGTTAAAAAGACAGTTAAACTGCTAAAACAAATCTTTCTCTATTAGATTATGCTTGCTTCAATAAAAAAGCTTGCTTAATAGCATTCATTTTGTTTTAAAGACCTCCGTTGAACTCAAATGATATTTCTGTTTTAGAGAACTTAATATATAAACTAATTTGGGAAAGACATAAATTGAAAGATGCAAGCCTTTGAATTGTTAGAGTAAAAACCAATATTATTCAATATTCACAAAAGTTTCATAATTGCAACATAAATAAATACTTATAAAAACATAATTGAAAATGTTTCTTATTTCTCAAATAGATCAGAAAACCAATCAGAAAATAGGTCCTTCTACTCTTATGCATGCTCTACTTCATAACACATGCCAAAATAACTTTATCCCCAGGAATTTTTCACATAGAAGCTCTTTATCCACAAGACCTTTTATTAAGGTAAATCTTAACATTACTGACATTTGAACATTAATCACAATACCACTGAACAGTCCTTAGAGCACTTAAGAGATTTAATCAGTTACTTTGCACCTCTCAAAAAGGGATTAGCAAAGTTTTGAGATACATATAACCTGAGAAAAGGACAAATGACAAGAGCATCTCAAACACTGCTAGGTATATATAGATGACACTATTTTTTTTCACAGTTGGTACACATATTAATCTTGATTTTGATTCAAACATGGAAATGCTCTTAATATGAAGAAGTGTTATTAAGAGCAAGTACACTAAATACTTTATATTTATTCTACATTGATAGATTACACTTTATACAGATTATGTAATTAAAATTTTTTATATATAAAGAATACATAAAAGTTATTCACAATAAAGTACAATCATGATTTAAAATTTTTATCATTTTAATCATAGATCATCTAAATCTTCAGCAGTTGGTGCAGAGACACTGTAGATATAATTAGAATACTGCATCACAGTTAAGGTGTGAATAGTGAACTAGCAAGGAGACAGCTGAAACAACTACAGTATGCAGGAGTACTCTGACATACTGGCTAGTTATAAGAACACTGAAGCCTATGTTCAATAAAGGAAAAAAATCCCGGAAACTTTAAAAACATTACTTTAAATAAAATTGTCACC